GCACCCCCCCACCGCCCCCGTTGAGAACCAATGCTATACAGAAATAGCAAGCTCACATCTGCAATTGTAATAATGACGTGCAGCACCATTCATGCACTGGGAAGAGGATGAGCACGCTCAGGAAAATCCCAACATTTGTAGGAGTACCCCCCCCCAAAAGAGGGAATAATTAAAGTATGGAGCAGTGTACAACTCCAAAAATATCTCAATACCCAGTGAACGTGAAAGGCAAGTTGGGCATTTAAGAGGAGAAAATGGAGAGCAAACCAAGGTGGAGTAGGATAAAGCATTGCTGACCAGCACAATCACCAGGATTGTGGTGTTTTTCAGAAGATAAAGTAGAAGCAAGTGATAAAACACTTGTCCATTTCTTATTCAAAAAGGGTGTCATTCGGTGGTGGAGTGAACTTTCCCCCAAAAGGGCCGTTCCTCTTTTTTGGAGGCAGCATTCCGCAAGTCTTATGACAGGCTACACAATTTACCTCTCCCTACAAAAGTCACTTCCCTACAAATGCTGAAAATGGAAACGGCATTAAAAAGAGGAACCCAAAAGATTCTGATTGAGACACACTGTTCTACAGTGATCTAGAAGGAGAACAAAACACATGCAGGCAAGAAGCTCTGAACATGGGAAACAGCCTAAGGGCTGGAGGGAAGCACAATTTTTAGGGTGGCCAGACCTTTTTATTGTAATAGGTTGAACAGTCCTATGATTTTCAGCAGTGTTTCTCAACCTCAACAGAGTTGAAGTTTACACATCTTAAAGTTGCTGAGGTTGAGAAATACTGATCTACAGAAATCAGCAGATGAACCTTTTGTGGCATATAGATCACAGGATTCCAGTTGAGCACTTTGTCACTTGTGTATCAGCTGCTATGGAAAGGACAGGGCAGCTGGTAAACTGTCATGGAAGGCCCAGAAGGGAGGGTTAGAAACAATGTTGGTAACTTCAGTGCCAACAATTAACAATTCTGAATTAACTTCCTTGCTTTGAATTATGAACACAGCTTAGGATCTTCCTTACATTCTGTACTGTGAATACTATGTTGAGGCAATTCACTGACAACAATAAACCACAGTTGTTATCCATTTTTAACATGCCAGAATCTGAAGTCAAAGCTTGTTCTTGGTAGTACCTAGCTTAGTCTGGGTTTGGAAGCTAAGTCCATTCAGGCCTGTGTGAAACCTGGTTTGTACCTAGATGGAAGGTTGTTGAACAAGAGGTATAGGTTAAACTAGGAGATCTCAAAATCACCCCAGAAGAGATGGTGACAAACTACTTTCCATACTGCTGCCAAGAAACGCCATGTTGCCTTCAGAAATCAAACTTGACTCAAAACAGGCTTTACTTACTTGAGTAAAGTCTCCTCCAATGTGAGCTGACCTCCTATGGAGGCTTTATGGACAGGTCCAAATAGCCTGCCGCAAGACACTCATTTTCCAGACAACAAATCCATAAACTTTCATCCTGCCTCCTGCTTCTAACCCTGCCAATATGCTCCCTACCATTGTTCAGGTAGCTTTCTCTACTTTGACAGGTGACAGGTACATTTCCAAGCCCCAGGCTGCATCTCCTCACCATCTTTATTTTCTTGGAATGCCAACGGGGCTTTTGTGGGATATTCTTGGCAATAAAGATCATGTGAGAGGCTGTATTTTGCTTTGCGCCCACTTTTTTTTTTTTATAAGTTAAGATGTAGGATCTAGAGGCATAAAGATGTCAGATGGGGCAGGGAGCTTTGCATACCCTAAAAGAAGCGTACGCAGGGATTACAGGGATCCGGTTATGGTCTTAAAAATATTTCTAGAATAGTAATTTTTCATCCTCTCAAGTTTATACATTCAACACTGGTCTTCAATTGCTGTGTCAGGCTGTACTGATTATCATGCTGCCTTGATTTTTATTTAGTTTATTAAATGCACAAAGAGAGAGAGCACACATTGGCTATCAAAGGAGAAGGATCTCTGTGCATAATTTCAACATTCTCTTTGGCAATTTTCTAAACCACAACGGATATACATCTAATGCCGTGGATCCTAGCCCACGAAGCTCATGCCACATTCAGTTTATTAGCTTTTAGTCAGCACAAACATCCTTCTGGGTTGTAATGCTCATTTTTGTACCTGCGGAGTAGAAAGTGGACTCGCTTCACCTCAGTTAGGCTACCATTTTACCCTCTCCAAAGGAGGCAGTTAAGGGCATTTTAAGAGCCATCAGCCTATAACCAGCTGATCGAAAAGGCACTTCTCCGAACCATCCGTCCCACATCCCACTTTCCTGGGAAGCATCACTGGACTAAAGTCGGATCCCGAAAATACGCCATCCTGATCTGATTAGGGCTTATCTTCACGCCACGCGGCGGGGACCTGCAGCCTTGAAAAACCCTCTTCCCGATGCCAGTATGTTCCACTACAACTCCCAGAATCCCCAGCCGAATGGAAGAGTCACCCCGGGGACCCCTCCCAGCCCTGACTTAAGCAAGAGGCCTGCAGTATCCCTCCACCCTTCCCGACCCGGGCAAGGCGAGGAAACGGCGCGAGCGAGAAACTCACCGAGCAGCAGCAGCAGCAGCAGCAGCAGCAGCAGCGGCGGCGACGGCAGAGAAGGGCAAGCCTCGCCCGAGCCGACTCCTGGTGCTTTAGCGTTCCACCCCGTCACTGCAGCGCAGCCAACCCGAGCCCCTCAGGCTATGCGTCCTGACCAATCAGCGCTCCCAGGAAGAAAGCATCGCCCCTCCCCTTTTTGTTTCCCCCTCCCGCCTAACAGAGACCGGAGGGGGCGGGAAGGGAGCCGCCTGCGATGGCACCGGCAGCTGCAAGCGGACAAGGGTCGTTTGCCTACCGCCTCTGCGCGCATCGCCTCCTCGCTTGCGCTTTACGCAGCACTGCCGCTGTCCGCCCGGCGGTTCGTAGAAGACGCGCAAAAGCGCTTTCAGCGAGCGAGCCCCATTGACTTTAGGAGGCTGAAAGAGGGCTGCAGCCTCGCTGCTCTGCAGATTTCTTTTCTTCCTATACTTTGTATTAGCTTTTGTTACTTTTTAATCTTTTTAAAACTTTTTAATAAAATGCACCCACAAAGCCAGCTGTGGATGCATTTGGGCCAGTCACTCTATCAGCTCCAGGAAGGAGGCAACAACATGCTATCCGGCACCATTCTGGTTTTCTGGAGATGTCATATTAGTTGCAAAAGCAGCCCAATTCTTGTCCTGCTTGAAAGACAAGTCTTTGCATAAGAAAGATCAAAATCATTTTTATTTTAGCCTGCAACTCTACATATGCCCAGGACTGAACTTAACAACTCAGCAATATGGGAGCATTTAAGTTGTGTATCTCTGCTGTCCAAATAGGACCTGCTAATGAACTGACTAGAACACCTGGCTTTTAAAAATGATTTAAATTGTTTAATAGCATGTTTATTCTCAATGTGGTTCTTGTGTATAACAGCAAGCACATCCCAATCAAGTCTGGACAGGCAGTTTCTTGTTGAGAATGCAGATCAAAAGCATCAAGGAACAAAAATGTGTGTTAATACTTGTATTTCATTGCCACCTTGTGGTGGAAATAAAACAGTTTTGCCTTGCTTCTTGTGCCTAGTTCCCCTCTGCAAAAAGAAAAAGGATTGTCTTCCCTTTATTATGTGCCATCAAGTCATTTTCGACTCCTAGTGGCCATGTAGATTTCTTCCGTGATGTCAAGGGAACTGTGTCTCCTGCCCATGTGAGCAATGAATATTAGTGCTCTAAACTCTGAAAGCAAGGCTTTTTACAGTGCAACATTAAGTATGTCTAGTCAGACAGAAGACCATATCTGAAATTACCAAGTTAATGATTTAGTAGATATCGGCTGAAAGAACAAAGACTATGAATTTGGAAGGAGGACAAAGATGGAGAAGAACCAGCTATTTTTATGAGTTGCTGTAGAGAGTTTAGACTTTTTCTTGTTAATATGCCCCTTTTCTCGGAATTTATACCTTTTGACCTCTGCTTTTATAGCTGTATGTTGTTGGGGTCTAATTGCTACCACTGATTTGGCTGTCCTGATTTATTGCTGATGGCTTTCACCCTGGTTGGATGTTAAATCATCTGAGCTCTTGGTGTATGCATTGTACTGTTGAAAATAACAAGGAAAGATCAAGGGACAGCTTAAGAGTGACAAATTGGGAATACAAGACTCTCCAAGCTACCTAAGGAAAAAAAAATGTGACTCTATGAATTTGTATTGTGGGCCCAAATTTAACTATTAGAATTGCAGCTTTGGACTGTGACTTGCTGCTAGGCAGCTCGCCATCTCTGATCACTGATGCTGATTCCATCCAGGTAGCTGTTCCTGTCACTCTGGATTCCTCCAACTCAGTGACAGCCACAAAGATGTTTTATCAATAGTCTGTGGGTCTTCATCCACAGGAGAGTAAGTTTCAGTATACCAGGAAGTCTTCATGTATAAAGTGTGCCCAGGAAATCAAAGGACCAGAAGATACAAATGTTCAGAAGTCACTGCTCCCTCTATAGATCTTGTGCTTGAATCTGTCATAGGTTATACTCTGTCTATGGCAAAAATAGTAATCTGTATATATCAGGGGTTCACTTTTATGTCTGGAGAGCTGGATGAGCTCAAGGGTGTGCTGGAGGTTATGTGGCATCAAAACGCAAGACGCAAGGCAAAATAATCAGGGCTTCACTGCAGTGTTTATTAGGCAGTACGTATCGGAGGGCGACCCCACCAAAGGTTAGTGGGAGACACTCCCCTGTAGGCAAAATGGATGCCCTGATATTTCTACAGTTCTACAAGAAAGGGGAAGGGAAAAGAACGCATATGCATACATATTCATATGATGATGCAGGCATACCTAAATGAGCAATGCTTCTCAAGTTACTCTCCGTCCCTGTTCTTGTATGCTATCTATAAGGAAAGCCATAGTGTCAGAGAGGAAGAAACAAATTGGTTCAGGGTGCCAACTGCCAGGAAGAAGGCTTCCTCCCTTACGTTGCTCTTGGGAGGTTTGGGATAAGGGGTTTACAATCAGCCTAGTTCACACCAGCTTCAAGGATCCTGAGCATTCCTTTATGTTTCAATTGTATTAAGGCGATCCCGTTCACCTGAGGGCTCTAAAAAACTGCTTCTTTCATGCAGAGATATATTTTCCTCACAGTTACTTCTAACAAACCAAGGGCAGAAAGTATGTCCCGAACGAATACCACAGAATGGAACCTTATTGCTAAGGAATTCAAAACAGAATATGTTAAAGCTCCCGAATTCTCTGTGAGTTGAGTTTTGCATCCTAAATAGGTTATGCTTATAATTGTCTAGGGCCATCTGAATTCTGGCTGTTGGAACAGCAGGTGAAATCTTTTCTTCTAAGTCAGATTCTGTAGGGCAGAACCTCCAGTGACCTATATCTCATTTTGAGAAGTTACAGAGCAGATATTTCAAAACTAAGCTTTTGCTTTCCTTTCAGTGGCCTGTAATTCCAGAAATGTTATGCATGCAAGATTTCCTGAGTGGCTTGAAAACTTTTCATCAGAGAATATTTTCAACACGGTATCTACAACCACTTCCACTTGCAAAGCCTAAATTAAATGTGACTCCTCACTCAAGGCCATTAAGGAAGCCTCAGAAGAACTCCCCTCAGAAACCAGCTGTGAAGGGCAATTCAAACTCCCCAACATTTCATAGAGAAGGCTGGTGTGGGTCTTCCGGGCTTTCATAGAGAAGTTGGAATTTCTTACCAAGAGTGACCTTGCTTCAGTTCTTCTTCACAGAGGAATTTCATGAAAGTTGTTTCTGGCAGAGTAGATGAACTCTGCATTTGCTTCCCTTGTATAATATTGCAGATTAACTGTTAAGCATATGTTCCCAAAATGGCGAACCTTTTGGGCTCGGCATGTCAAAAATTCAGAAATGTCTAACTTGACTCTGCTGGTGTGTCACCCCCTCCTCCCAAACAAAAGAGAAACAATTCTTTACATATTCATTTATTTAAAAAAAATACAGTCCAAT